TCAAGCTCACGGATCCTGTCCTTCATCCCCTCCGTTCTGCTATTAGCTTGTCAATTGAGATTTTCTAATTTTAGTTATTGTATTTTTTTATTCTAAAATTTCCATTTGGTCCTTCTATATATCTTCAATCTCTTTAGATAGTTTATATTTCTTTGCAGAAACTTTTTTTCTTCATTTGATTCAAATGTGTTCTTAATTTCTTGTTGAAGTATGTTTATGATGGTCACTTTAAAATCCTTGCCAGATAATTCTAACATCTATGTTATCTTGATATTGATGACTATTGATTCTTTTTCCTCATTCCATTAGAAATCATCCCAGTTCTTGGTATGATGAGTGATTTTTTATTGAAACTTGTAGATTTTAAGATGATATAAGACTCTGGATCTTATATAACCTTATTTAAATCTTAACAGGCCTCCTCTGACACCCCTCCAGTGGGTGAAGGGGGTATCACTGCCTCTTTCCTGCTAGGTGGGGGTGAAGTCCAGGTTCTCACTCAGCCTCCATTGAAAGCCAGCAGGGAAGGACTTCCTTGAAATGTCTGGGGAGAGCCTGGAGTTCTGGTTCCCTACTAGGCCTCTGCAAGGAGGAGAGGCAGAGGCTGGAAGGTGGAGCAATGCCTCTTTGTTGCCCTCCAAGCGTCCTCCAGTGACACCATAATGGGTGGCCTTTCTATCATGAGCAGTGGTGAAGGTCTTGACTCCCCACAAGGTCTCCTCCAACACCATCCCAGCGTGGTGAGAGCAGAGTGCCTCATTACTCCTCCCCACATGGCCCCCGCTAACCCCATGGAGGAGGGGAACAACGGTGCCTTGTGTTAGCCTGACAAAGGTGAAAGCCTAGTCTTTCCACTTCACCTCTGCTGGCAAAGATGGCAATGAGGCCACAATTTCTTCTGTGGTCTTCGGATGGAGAGGAGTGATTATTATCTACAAGATTTTTTGTCTTGCTATGTTTCTTTCTTTCTGTTCATCTGGCTGGAGAGAACAGGTGCTCTTCGGGGCATATTTTGTCTGTACCCATTGGCATTTCTGGGTTACAATGAATATCCAATCCGGAATATATAATGCAAAAAGAAAACCCAAGGAATTCACCACTCTGTCATTCCTGGGTCCCAAGGTCCGTAGCCAGTATGCCTTTTTCTCTCCAATTTTCAGAGTTTGTTAATTTGTTTTTTAATTGCTTTATTTATAATGGCCAGAGGTTTTAGTTGTACTTAGTGAGAGGAATACAGCAAAGTATGTCTACTCCATCTTCCTAAAAAGAGGAAACTCTGCTCTACATTTTTAAAAGATTCTTTAAATACATAGACTCAGTAAAATTTACCACAGTGTGTCTTTTTACATTTAAGCTGCTAAGCATATACCATATTTTTAAGCACACAGTGTGCATCTTCTTCATTTGTTTGCCAATTGCACCCTCCCCCCACAAAATATTTTTGTAAGCCCTCTATGTTAGTTTTTTTTTTACAGCAACATACAAAAACAAACTGGCATAGAGGCACTTATGAAAATACCTCGTGAGGGGAAGGGTACAGTTGGCAAACAAAAGTAGAAGGGGCGGGTTATTTGAGTAAAAATATGGTAATTGGCCCATTCAATCCAAAGATTTGTATGCCTACAGCTAAAGAAACATTTTTATTTGATTGTTCCTTTGATCGTATTCTCCCTTCCACTGCTCCTATTTCTGTCTCTGGAACTGTTATTTGTAGTATACTTCAGTGTGCTCTACATTGTCTAACTTTTTTTTTGCTTATTTTCCATGTCTTTCTCTTTTTGTTCTTTGTTCTGTAAAATTTCCTCATCTTTATATTTCAAGATTCAAACTTGGTCTTAATCAATGCAATTAAAAAAATTTATCATTATATTTAAAATTTCCAATTTTCTCTGGCTACTTTTACATGGAATCCTCATGATTTAATGGTCTTCATATCCCTTTGAATCTCAATTTATACTAAGTGGAATAGTTTTTAAGTTTTCTTTTGTTGTCTAAATTATGTCTACTTCTTCCAAGGTCAGTTGTTCTCTTCATTTATCTTAATATTTCTGCTTTGTGCTGTTGACTTCCTAAATAGATAGTAATAATAGGTTATATTATATTTAAGAATTAAGATCTAAGTTACATTTTTGGATTAATACTTCAATTAATTGGTATAGGTTAAATTTCCTTTCAATTCTGTAGTTTTATTTCTCCAACAGATTTCTTTCTGCATTGGGTGGGCTGACCATAAACTGCAAATGGGTAGGTACTGTCAATTGGTAGTTTTCATTTTAGGGGTTGTAAGTATGGAACCCTGTGGTGCAAAAGTTAAGTGCTCAGCTGCTAACTGAAAGGTCGGTGGTTTGAACCCACCAGCAGCTCCACAGGAGAAAAGACCTGGTGATCTGCTCCCATAAAGATTACAGCCTAGGAATCCCTATGGGGCCGTTCTGTTTTTCATATAGGATTATTATGGGTTGGAATCAACTCCACAGAACACAATCTAACACCTCAAGTATGGAGCAGGTAGACATACTGCAGACAGTTTCAACTGCCAAACAAAGAAGGGATTTTTTTCTCTGGCCATAGAGGATTTTTGTGCAGGTCCTTTCTTGGCAGAGCTACCAGATTTCAGAGGATGTCTATATGGATTGATGACATCAAGGGCAAAAGAGGCCTCAGCTTCTCAGATGCTTCTGTCCTGGGTATAATCATCCATAATCCCACCCAAGAATTAGATCCACCTCATGGGAGGCAAGGAAAGATAGCCTGAGCCAGTAACATGCGGGAGCAGCTCTTCCTGGCTCATGAGAGCAAATAATGCACATCTCTTCCCAACTCCACGATCAGTGACATCTCATTGGTAACTTGAAATTGGCCAGGGTTGGGCTTTTTTTTTTTTTCCTTACATACCCAGCTGTTAAACCTTTACAGCTTTCCAATTTTCAGCATTATTTAAAATTGTCTCCCACCTCAATGAAATGGACTTGGAAAAAAAAAAAAAACTAATTGAGTTTGGAAATATAAGGTTTTATTTCCTGCACACCTGAGTTTTGAGTTAGAGAGGCATATCTGCTACACTTTAGTTCATATGGATTATGACATGTAAATGAGACTTTGGGAGGTAGAACTTTAGTTCACAGTCTCTCAATACAATATACCAAAGTTATTTGACCTTGGATCTTCAGGAAGAAAAATGGTTCTCTAGGTGAAAATTCTGCATACTGTTCAAATTATTATAATCACCATTTTAAATGACCATCTGACTATGAGATCAGGGCTCAGACAGAATCTCTCTTCATTCACTCAATATTTATTCAACAAATAGTTATTGGTGCTTAGGTGACTGTTCATGGTGGACAAGGAGACAGAAGACAAGTTAACAAATAAAGAAAGATAATATAAGACAATGATAAAGACTTTAATAAAAATAACTTGGGGTGATGTGAAAGACAGTGAACTGGGAATGTTCTGTAATCTTGTGGTCAGTGAAGATATCTGTGAGTTGAGACTTGAATGACAAGCAAAAGACAGCCATGCTGAAAATTCAGGGCAGATGTGTAAAGATGAGACATGCAAAGATGCAGTCAGATTTTACTAATCAGTACACATAAAATTGAAATATGATTTTCTGGGAAAACAGGCCTCAATATCATAAAATAAAAACAGTACAAACTGTCTTTGTTAAGTATTCTTCTACTTTTCAGCTTTCCAATGAAGTATATAATGTTCTCCTATTAACATACTGGAGCCCTGGTGGCGCAGTGGTTAAGAGCTTGGCTGCTAATCAAGAGGTCCGCGTTTTGAATCCACCAGTCACTCCTTGGAAACCCTATGGGGCAGTTCTACTCTGTCCTATAGGGTTGCTATCAACTTGAGGGCAATGGGTTTGGTTTTCTGGTTTATTAACATACTGTGGTTACTTTGAAGTCTTTAAATGTGTATAATGGCCTAGTTATTGTTTGGGTTTTGTTCATTAAAGCAGTTTTTAATATATGCTAAAAGTTATATGACAAATACATTTTGCCTTGAACTGATTATCTTTAAATGATTACTTTAATAAAATATTTTTTTTAGTTCTCCTTAACTGAATTGTGGTTTATGCTCCTAGCCACTGTATTCTCAATTATTTATAAGAAATTGCATAATTATTAGATGATTACAATCATTGGATTCATTTTTTTACAGTAAATCTGTCCATCTATTTTCACTTACTAGTATTATCAGAGTAAGTAAAAAGCTTCAGCTGAAGACATGTTTAAATACAAAGCTGCTTTTTCTGAACTGAGGACCCAAGTTACTTAGAATTTGTGACATTGCCAAAAAAAATGCATTAAAATTATAAATATCCATTGCACTTATGAGCTACAGAAGATGTTAGAATAACAAATTTAAAAGCAGAGCTATCAATTTCCATTTGGATCTATGGGTAAAAAACCTTTGCTATACTATCTTCTATGAAATTTAGAAACAAAGACTGTTCTTGTTTAATTAATATCACTTAATATTAATTCACCAATAATTCCAAGACATATACTTAATTTAACTTCCCACTTTACCTGGAACCCATTGCCCCTCAATTTTTTTCACTGTTCTGAAATTAAAAACAAAACGAGCCTTTATTACATACAAAGAACCACCTAAGTAGCCTAAAGCAACCATCCCTTTGAAATGCACACGTGGAGTAATCCTCCCCCCAAAAACCAGTTGCCATTGAGTTGACCCTGATTCATGGTGACCCCATGTGTATCAGAGTAGAACTGTCCTCCATAGAGTTTTCAATGGCTGATGTTTCAGAAGTAGATCACCAGGACTTTCTTCCAAGGTACCTCTGGGTGAACTTGGACTTCTAACCTTTCAGTTAGTAGCCCAGAGCATTAACTGTTTGTACCACCCAGGGACTCCACACACAAAGAACTTCCCTGTAAACATGGTTCTCAATTTCGCTGGTAGAACATCTCAAACTAGTCTCTGACGGAGAGGACGCTGTTTTGCCTTCGGGGCAGAGTAGAGCTCACCTGATTACAAATGAAGCTGTTGTTTCTAGTGCCCACGTTATCACACTCGCAGGGTTTGCAAACATCGATGGCTGAAGGATCTGCACCAACCTGTCGGTAAAAGTAATCCTTACACAGCTCGCAGTTCTTTCCTGCATCAGGGAAAGGTTATGCATTGTGACTTCCAATTCATTAAAATCAGCTGCATCATTCAAAATTAAAGACTGTATTCCTTTGAGAGAATTCTATAATTTTCGGGACGTCCATGTTAATGCACCTTTCATCTCTACCTGCCAATTTAGTGATCCAGAGCATATGAAACAGTGAACCTGTTACAAACTGTGCTTTACTTCATTAAACTCCCATCTGCTATCTAATACCACACTTCTAAAAGGCTGTGCTTTGTAAGGACCCACACATTTTAAAAGTTTGTTTCTAAACTTAGAAGTTTTCTTGATTCCAAGGACCAGGCACTTAGTCTAAATCAAATATGACAAAATCTATATATAGAGAAGATGATAGTTAGGTAGTGAGAAGCAAGTAGGTATGCAGCCCTAGTAATATTTTTTTTCCAGAGCAGAGGCTGCTCTTAATACAATTTATTATTCTAATAATAAAATGATTAAAACATATCCTTATGTTACTGCTTATGGCCATTATTTTTCATTTCAAATATGAAAATAGAAAAGTATAACATTTAAACATATCAGGTAAATTTCGTATTAATTATTCGAATAGCCTGGCATATTTGGTGCATTGGGTAACCTCTATAGTTTACAATTTCTAAATTAAAAATTATCTCATGCCATTTTACATAAGAGAAAAACTAAGCCATGGGGAGTTTCTAAAGCAGATCTGGGTAGCATATAAGGCTGCTGAAATAAAACCCAAGGCTCTCAATTCCCCATTAAACATTATGCACTCTGCTCAAATATTGCTGAAATTGGCCCAATGTTAGAAGACTACTGAAACAACTTAATCAAGCGAAAACTCGCGTTCTAATGGATATTGGCTACAGCCTAATTAAAAATTAAATGGATTTATAAGATTTCTAGAACATTTTATATTTATATATGCTGATGACTCCCAAATCTATATTTCCAGTCTAGATTTCTCTCCTTTATTTATTATTTAATGAATATTTATGGAATGATTACCATGTTCCAAACACTATGCTAAGTGCTGAGGAATACAGCAGTGGGCAAAATACACATTACGCCTCTCTCATGGAGCTGTCTCACAATCTAGCTGGTAAAATGAATCTTAATTTAATGATAACAAGAATAAACACACATCTACAAACCGTGATAAACGTAAGGTGCCAACAGTGGATGTAGATAGTCCTGATCTCTTCGGAAGCATCACTAAAGAAAAGGGGCTTGAAAAAGGGGGCTTCAGATCTGTGTAACCAACTACCCACAAGAGAATTCTCTACGTGTCATGGAAACACAGAGAACATGTTCAAAACAGAACTTGTCATCTGCTCCCTACATTATCCTCTTTCTGTGCTTCCTATCTTCGTGACTTGACCCTCTGCTTCGAGGTGAACGTTACAGGTGTCAGTCTTGACTGCTCTGCCTTCCTTACCTGCATCCTATAACCAGTTGCTCATAATATGCTACTTTTCAGCCTAAATAGCTCTTGAATCCTCATCTCTCTACCCACCCTGTCTTAAATGTAGTTGAGCATCTGTCCTCACGCGATTATAGTACCCTACTATCGGGACATCCCAAACCACTGCTGGCATTCTCCAGTTCATTCTGCACTCTACAGCCAGACTGATACTTTAAAAGAACAAAACTGATTATGGCCGTTTCCTGTATAAACCACTGTAGCATCTCATTAACCTTGGGATAAAAGTCAAGCTCTTTATCATGGGTTTCATGGCTTCTAAAGCCCTGTGTGATCTGGCCAGAGCTGTCCTCCCTAGCATATTTTCCTACCACCAGCCATTTGCTCTTCTATCAGTTTTTCAAATGTACCATGTTTCTCTCTCCTCCAGGCCATTGAACAACCCGTTTCTCCTACTGGAAACATTTGCCTAGGCCCTCAATTCCCTTCCCTCTTGCTCTATCACCTGGGTAACTCCCGCTGTCCTTGTCATGTCTTAACACTTCCCCTTTGTAATTGTTTCTGTAATCATGTGCCTTTCCCAGTATGCAGTAATCCATACAAAGACAGGGAAATTCATTATTTTGTTTGTCTTTATATCCCCAGCGCTTGGCCAAGTTCTTGTGACATTTTAGGTTACGGTAATTATTTAATGAATTCATTCATTCATGATACAGAGTAGCACAATTGCAAATCTATCAATGTTGAGCCATTATGTTTTTCAAATGTAGATGTTATCTATTTCTGCTCTTAAAGTACTGGCCTTTCCTAAAATATCAATTTTCTATGACTAGACAAAATGCTTTATGGTTTTAGAAGACTATGATTATCATCTTCTGCATTTAATTAGTTTCTTTAAATAAGAATAATACCAGATTCCCAGTGTCCATGCCAAATTTGAATGAATGCAAACATCTCCACATGAGAAAAAGGGTGTAATGGAAGATAAGGGCGACACACAAGGAAACTTATTTTAATGACATGTGCATTCAAACTAACCAGTCCTGAGTTATGCAAAATATATTCATGGTTTAATCAAATGATGTCACTCCTTAAAAAAAAAAAAATTCCTGAAATCATATAGACTAAGACTAGACTTCCAGTTCTGAAAACTACCTAATGCTTTCAAATTATGAAGATTTGGTGAACTAGCTTTGGTTTTCACAATATGAAAGTGCTTTCTCAAATAAGACAGCAATAAGATAATTTAAAATAGAATGCGTTGTATGTATAGAAGCACACAGCCTCAAAGGCCAAGTCAGCAGCTTGTGTTATTTGCTATTTACCTGTAGTGTTATGCTCGCAGTCATCACAAACTCCTCCACCCCCTCTGAGGTGCTCAGCCGGGAAAGGGTCCACGGAAATTTCATAGTGGCAGCTCCTGGAGTGGCTGTTGCATTGACAGGGTTTACAATTGAAGGTGTGAACTTGATCACCTTGGCGGAAAGGCTTGTCATTATAAAGAGGCAAACAGCGATCACACTAGAACAATAAGCAAATACAAAGCTGTAAATTAATTTTCTTTTTATTTGTACATCAGACACTTGCGCTAGATTTAAAGATAATGACAAAGAGTTAAAAGACAGCAATCATTTTTTGAACTGTCTTATAAATCACAAATCAACATATTGCAGGCAGTCTTCACTTTGCACAGTAGTGTGGGTTCAAAAAAGTGACTATGCAAGCTGAAATTGTACAGATCCATCTCAATAATCAATTGGAAAAAGTATGATTATTCCACGATCTTTAAAAAAATTTGTCAAAACACTAAAAACTCCCTTACTGTCAGTTTTAAGTGTAAAGGGAAATAGAAAATACTGAAACCAACATTTATTTAGTAGACTGTAATTTAAAGCATTAGAAATTTTGAAAATTAAAGTACTTTATGTCTTTGTAAATACTCATCAGGAGTAGTATGAAGAGAGCTTGCTTTCTTCTTGTCCTAGAGCTATGATACTGAGTGAGCATCTTTTCCTACCTTGGCAAATAGCCATACTTGTTTTTGAGTTTAGATCAGATGCCAACATTTTAACTGTATGCTTTCGATGTTGCGAAATGTCTCCGAGTTGTCGTTGCTGTTGTTGCTGTTAGGTGCCATCGAGTATGTTCTGACTCAGAGCAACACTATGTACAACCAAACGAAACCCTGCCTGGTCCTGCGCCATCCTCACAATCATTGTTATGCTCGAGCCCATTGTTGCAGCCACTGTGTCAGTCCATCTCATTGAGGGGCTTCCTCTTTTACGCTGACTCTCCACTTTCCTTTAATTGAAGTGTTTTGTTTTGTTTTCCTTTTTCATTAAAAAATTTATGCACAAATTGTTTTGTGACTTTGGTTGCAATTCCTGCAATGTATCAGCACTCTCCCCCTTTCCCTTTTCACCCCGGGTTCCCCGTGTCCATTCGTCCAGTTTTCCCATCCCTTCCTGCCTTCTCATCTTCGCTTTTGGGCAGGTGTTGTCCGTTTGGTCTCTTGTGCTTGAATGAACTAAGAAGCACGTTCCTCACGTTTAACTGAAGTTTTTGACGGCATGGCTTCCTCTGGGATATCTTCACCGTGGTCATCACAGCCAGTTCCCTCAATTAGGATAAATTTTTCTTCAACAAGTTACTCTGGCTGCATATCTAGAGGCTCTCCAATGGCAACACTGTGATCAGCTATTTCTTATATAATTCCGTTTACATTCAATTTGAGTTTCACTTTCATACTTACTTCTTCGCAGCGCTTTCATCTTCAGTGGCTAATTTCCTTTTCTGAATATGCATTTTTGTAAAATGTCACATGGGTTTATCACTGAGAGACAAGGAGGCAGCACAACTACACACTTTTCTGTCTGTGAATGATTGAGGAACAGACATACAGTGACCAATCACCAACAGACTTTACACCCATGACCTGTTCGGTCACTGATCATGATGCACATCAGTTATTTACATAGTGATTTGTAGACTGAAGAACCAGCAGCCAAGTTTGCACTTCATGCAATTACTCACAGTTAATATAATGTGGCAACTGAAATTTAAACCATGTTGTTGGGGAACTGGTACTATTTAACTAAGCTATGATGAACTACTTTAATTATGAATCAAAAGAGTTAAAGGAATGCAGAATAAAGTTTCAAAAAGTCTCCTATATATACGTAATAATGGCCCTTTGCTATCTGGTTTTTATTAACATTGTCAAAAACTATTTTGATATTGGGACAACAAAGAATATTCCATTGTTCTATTTTCTGTAACAAGTATTTAATATTTTAGACCAGTTTATTTGATGTATTTCATATTCGCTATTGATCAAACTGTAGTCAAAAGAATAATTGGATCATTTCTATCAGTATTTATTTACCCTTCTTGTTCATGGTTGAACAAATTCTTCCCTTAATATTTTAAGGTAGAAAGAAAGAATAATTCAATTCTCAAGAGTGTTATTATTTAATGGTATTCTGAAAATTATAGTTTGAAAAAAAAGTGTGTTTTTCTACTTAGCTGAACACAAAAAGAAAAGGAAAAAAAAGAGAGAAAGAATAAGAACATAAATGTTAGGTCACAATTTTCACATCAGATAATGCAACATCCTAATAATTAGTAAAGAATGCACTTTCACATTTTGGTCAATTTAAGAAATCTGATACACTCTGAAGATTCTATCTCCCTGAAATCATTTCTAAGCTTCTAGATAGGGATAGTTGTACCTCTTCTTTTCTCCTGTAGCACCCCATTAATACCTTGACCTTGCTCCTAATACTCTAAACCGAAATGATTGGTTCATTTACGCGTATCTTCCAGGAAATGGAAGTTACTGACTTTTATACTCCCTGTGTCATCAGCACATAGGAGCTTAATAGGCAATTGCTAAACTGTTAGCTGAAAATTCACATCTAAAGGTGAAAGTAATGTCTAAAACAAAGTTATTCTTGAGAGAATTTAGAGAGAGGACAGATGGAAACAATTCATAAATAGGTAAAGGCTTCAGAATTGACTATTACAAAATGATTTACAATAAAGCACTTACAAATATAAAATTAAAACCATTTTAGTAAGATCAATCTCTGTAACAGTCATATGGTCAACTATGGGTCTTTGGAGAAAACATTTTAAAATTGGGAAAATAGACCTCTCCAAGTTTTCTATCACAAACAATAACCATTTGCAAATCAAATTTATTTCATAGAATCAAAAGTTAGAGATAAGACATTGGCTTGAAATCAGATCTTAGTTCAACTTCTGGTGCTACCACTTACTAACTGAAAAGACAACTGTGAAAATTCATATGAAATGTGTACTTTCTATGTGCTGGGCACTGTATTGGTGCTGTTGTTAGGCGCCCTCAAGTCTGTTCCAACTCATAGTGATCCGATGTACAACAGAAGGAAATACTGCCTGGTCCTGCACCATCCTCACAATCATTGCTATGGTTTGAGCCCATTATTACAGCCACTGTGTCAATCCATCTCATCCAGGATCTTCCTCTTTTTCACTGACATTCTACTTTAAATTATGGTGTTGATGAAGAATACTGACTATACGATGAACTGTTAGAAGAACAAACAAGTCTGTCATGGAAGAAGGACAGCCAGAAGGCTCCTTAGAAGCAAGGATGGCGAGACTTTGTCTCACATACTTTGAACATGTTATCGGGAGGGATCAGTCCCTGGAGAAGGACATCATGCTTAGTAAAGTAGGAGGCAGTGTATTATGCATGTAAAATAAATTATTTCACTGGATATGCTAGGCCATAGGGTCATTTAGTATTCCACATTTGATTTCTGTTCCTTGATTTGCTAGTCCTGTGTTTGAACAATTAACTTTACCTCTTTAAGTCTTATTTTTCTTATCTTTAAGATCAGGTTAATAATACTTGCCTCATAGGGTTATTGCAAGGATCAAGTATTTAGCAGAGTGCCTGTCACATAGTAAAACCAGTTGCTATCAAGTAGACTCCAACTCATGGAGGCCCAATGTGTGTCAGAGTAGAACTATGCTCCAGAGGGTTTTCAATGGCTGATTTTTTGGAAGTAGCTCGCTAGGCATTTCTTCTGAGATGCCTCTGGATAAACTCAAATCACCAACCTTTTGGTTAGCAGCCCAGCGAGCTAACCACTTGTGCCACCCCAAGACTCCAACACGTAGTAAGTCATCAGCAAACATTGCCTGCTACTTTTATTATTAGATTAGAAACTGTGGATTAAAGAGATTAGGTAACATGAACAATGTAATTGGACAGTTAGTCTTTGAGTCTGCTTTATGAATCTCATTGCTTCATCTCTAAAAGGAAGCTAAAAACTTAACTCAGTATCTAATTTATTATCACTCAATATAATCTGAGGATGAGCAGTAATATTTAAATAATGCCGGCACAAGGCCTGGCATACATCGTGCAGTCAAAATATGGCAATTACAAGATGGAAGAGGAGGATGAAGGAGGAGGGGCAAAGTACAACAGAGGTGTTGATCTCAAGTTTCAGTGGCACCAGCAGTACATAAGACTGTCCCTATGCAGAAAATATTGCCAATAACCCTTAATAGAGGATTCTCTGATCGTAAAAGTATGGATCCATGTTCTGCTTTAGAGGAAGTGTCCTACAGAGTAGAACAAGGAGCAACTTACAACCAAAATTTATGTCAAAATTCATTTCTTGTTAATTTATCATCTGTAGCTATAATTGTCTTCTCGAGTCACCCTTCGTTGGTATAGACGAGTGAGCACCTCCAGTGTTGCATCCGTTTGTTGAAACATATTAATTGGTATTCCATCAATTCCTGGAGCCTTGTTTTTCGCCAGTGCTTTCAGTGCAGCTTGGACTTCTTCCTTCAGTACCATCGGTTCTTTATCATATGCACCTCCTGAAATGGTTTTGGTACAGTGATTCTGTATATTCTTTCCATCGTTTTTTGTTGCTTTCTGCTTCATTCAACATTTTCCCTGTAGAATCCTTCAATATTGCAACTTGAGGCTTGAATTTTTTCTTATTTTTTTTCAGTTTCAGAAATGCCAAGTGTGTTCTTCCTTTTCAGTTTTTTAACTCCAGGTCTTTGCATATTTCAGTATAATACTTTACTTTGTCTTCTCGAGCTGCCCTTTGAAATCTTCTGTTCAGCTCTTTTACTTCATCATTTCTTCTCTTCGCTTTAGCTGCTCTATCTTCAAGAGAAAGTTTCAGAGTCTCTTCTAACATCCATTTTAGTCTTTTCTTCCTTTCCTTTCTTTTTAATGACCTTTAGCTTTCTACATATATCATGTCCCTGATGTCGTCCTACAACTTGTCTGGTCTTTGGACATTAGTGTTCAATGTGTCAAATCTATTATTGAGATGGTTTCTAAATTCAGGTGGGATATACTGAAGGTAGTACTTGGGCTCTTGTGGACTTGTTTTAATTTTCTTCAGCTTCAACTTGAACTTGCATATGAGTAATTTACAGTCTGTTCCGCAGTCTGCCCCTGGCCTTGTTCTGACTGATGATATTGAGCTTCTCCTTTGTCT